GTAATTTTGTTAAAGTTAAAGGTTAAAATGGGTATAAGAAAGGAATGGGAAGGGTGAAATTGGAAAAAATTGAAAGAAGATTGCATGAGAAATTGAACCGGTGATTTTTCTGGTTTCATCGGTTTTACCGGTTTTTATCGGTTTTACCGGTTTTAACCGGTTTTTACCGGTTTTTGACCGGTTTTGACCGATTTTGACCTAAAATGATTTTCTTATATGAACCGAACCGTTTTCATGACCGGGTACCGGTCCGACCGGTTCAACCGGCCGGTCCGGTCCGGTTTTAAAAACCTTGATTAGGAGTGAGGGTGGCGATGACTGGGCCTTGTAGTCAGAATGAAACGACGTCGTATTGTTGACTCCTCCCGTACCCATGCGTGGCTCAACTTTCTGAATCTGCTGCAGTTTATAATTTCGAAGCCTTTGTTCTTTACAACCAATTCCAAATTATTTTATGTTTTCTTTCATCCAATTAATTTCTCCTTTTTTTTTTTTGAAAATTGAATTTATTGGAAATTAATTTTAATTGAAACTAGAAGAAAAAATTTCAAATAAATACGGTTACGGGTGGCATCGGACGATTTCAGCTTCAACCGCAATCGAGATGTTTTGGTTAATCAAGATGTCAGTTAACCGAGATGTCGGTTTCTTAATTTTAGAAATCAAAAACCACATTAAAATGTTTTAATTCTTGTGGTTTCGATTGTTTCAGTTTCGGTTGTTTTAGTTTTGGTTTTGGATTTCAGTTTCGGTTTTGGGTTTCAACCGTTATTTCAGAATGGCTTATCGATGGCAGAAAGACAAGGTAGATGCCCAAGATGAGGGAAGAATGATGAGAGAATATGGTACAAGAAAGTCAACGAAAAGAGGAGACAGCAACTAAGTGATTCTTTGTTTCTAGATCTGGAAAAAAAGAATGAAATTAGGAGAAGAAACTAATAGGAATGAACTATTAGAAAAATAGAACGGATTTTCTCTATTGAGGAAAGGAAGGAGAGTTAGAGAAAATGTGTTTAAGTGAAGTGAAAGGAGGAGAACTAGAGAAAATTTGCAGTACCATCGGTAAGGAGGGTGTGGAGTGGTGACTGGTGTGTTGGTGAGTGGTGACGGTGAAATGAGAAAAAAAAAATCAATACCAATAAAAAAATAAAATATATTAAAGTCAAGGTGATGAATCAATTAATGATGAAATTCAAAATTTAAAGTGGGAAATTAAAAAGTCAAATGTTGTAAGCAGAAATCCTACATGAAAAAACGTGAAAGACTAAAAAATGATATACAAATATTCAGAATAAAAATACAAAAGATAAAAAAGGGGTGGGCTTTCCCTTTTTTGGGCCTACTCATACGGTTGTCGGTTCTTGGGCTTAGGAACCGACAACCGCCCAACTGAGTTCTCGGTTGCAAACGCAACCAAGGCCCAGCCCAACTGAATGCCAAAACAAACCTGACCCGCCGGTTGCGGTTGCGGTTGCGGTTGCGGGCGGGCACGGTTTTTTTTTTTTTTACGGTTTCGGGCCCGAACGCGAACGCGAACGCTCAGGACAAAATGAGATGCTCCGGTTGGGCTTTTCCCTGCAAT